CTCAAACCCAGCTCATACCCAGCTCCTACTAGCTCCTACTAGCTCCTACTAGCTCCTACTAGCTCAAACCCAGCTCATACCCAGCACCTACTAGCTCCTACTAGCTCCTACTAGCTCCTACTAGCTCAAACCCAGCTCATACCCAGCACCTACTAGCTCCTACTAGCTCCTACTAGCTCCTACTAGCTCAAACCCAGCTCATACCCAGCACCTACTAGCTCCTACTAGCTCCTACTAGCTCCTACTAGCTCAAACCCAGCTCATACCCAGCACCTACTAGCTCCTATTAGCTCCTATTAGCTCCCCTTGCAATAAGCAGAGGAAAAAAAAAAAAAAAAAAAAAGAGATTGAAAAATTTAAAGTGAAAAATTTCCACATTGATTTCATTGACTCTGTTAGTGACCTAGAGGAGGCAGCTTTGATATCAAGATGTCTGGTACTGAGACGAAGAAGAAAGTGCCGAAAAAGGGTGGCTACGAGAACCCAGCTTTGAGAGCTTTGGGTATAAAGAGAATTTCTATACCATCGAAAAAATGGATGGTATTTTGGACGGTATTGGTTGGGATTGGATCAACCATCGCATATGATAAATACGAACAAAAACAAATTAGGCAAAAGTGGATGGAAAAAGTTAAACAATTTGGAGAGGAAACATACGATATCAATAGAATTCCCAGAAAACTTACGATTTATATAGCGCCACCACCTAATGATTTTCTAGATGAGTCCTTGAAAATATTTAGAAAATTCATAAAACCGGTGTTAAATTCTGGGTCTGTTGAATTTCAAGTGTTTAGCGAGAATAGGCAAGGAGATATAAGGGCCAACGTTGCGCAGAGGATAAGAGATCGAAGATCTAAAGAAGTTTGTAAAGGAAATGAATTAAAGGAAAATGTGGAGAATGTGGAGAAAACAAGCGATGACGAGGACAAAACAGTAAGTCGATCAACGTTATACAAACCAGCTGACGTCCTTGGGCTATACAAGATTTTTCCTAAGGAAATCGGTGTGGTTTCTGACGACGCTAAAGATGACGTATCAAAATCGGGAGGTGTGATATGTATTGGGAGAGGTGCATTCAAAGAATATATTAGTGGATTACACGAAGGGTTACTAGGACCCTTGACCAAACCCGAGGCAGTAGCAGCGGAAGAAGAGAAGAGGGCTGCAGAAAAAGCTGATGAGCCAGCTATTGATGAAGACAATGAAGAAGCAAATTTGAAACCAGTTCCAATGAAGTATATAAGTGGGAAAGAGTACCAAGATGCACCATTAGCACCCGAATTGGATATGCGTGTTACTGTCAGAGACGAGAAGGGGGTCCCTGAATTTTTTGAGCAACCGGTTTATGTTTTTCCAGTACCGAAAGTTCAAGGAATAATGAATACACCTCGCAAGATTTACAACTACCTCACAAAGAGGTACCTTGCGGACGATTTTGGAAATAGAGCGAGCCACATTGTAAGGCAAGAAACCGTACCATTTGAATATAAGCATACATTAATGGCGGCGGAAGAAGAATCTGATTGGCCAGAGAAATGGATTCAAAAGGGTCTAGAAAAGAAATCAGAATGGGTTCAAGAGTTGGATTACGATGATAGAGTGATCTCAAGACTACGTGTTTTTGATGATAAGAAATAAAGTAGTAGTAATAATAATAATCTGTGTATACAATTAAATGAGAGAGTTTATTTTCTACTCCAAAGCGTGTAGTTGTAAGTAAAGTCACCTTCTTGGATATCCGTTTCTATATCACTTTCTCCTGTAAGCTGTTTCAACTGCTCAGTAGACTCTCGCTCCCATTGGTCCATTGGGAATTGTAGGAACGTATCCATCTCGATACTTGATGGGTCCAAATGGCTAATTTCGGTAATCAACAAGTTATCCACAACTTCACTCTTCATTGCCTCTTGATAAATCTCGGCTCCTCCAATAATAAACACTTTTTCAATATTCTTATCACGTAAAAGGTCCAAAGAGCTTTGGATAGAATTCGCCTCTATCGTGGTTTCATCCAACTGGCGATTTGCAAACTTTCGAGACAAAATGACATTCAATCTATTAGGTAAAGGTCTAAACTTTGACGGTATGGATTCCCAAGTCTTTCTACCCATCACAACTGCATTTACACAACCTGGGTCAGTGGTACGCATAGTGACCCTTTTGAAGTAAGCCATTTCCCTACGTAGTTTCCAAGGTAGACCCCCTTGATAGCCTATACCGAACTCAGGCTTAAGGGCCGCAACTATAACTATAACTGTTGGCCTCATCGATTACCTTTAGTTTTTCATTACCACCCTTTCCTGAATAAAACGCGTTAGCGTTTGTTTATTTACTTTTTTATGCTCGCCTGGAGAAGAGGGATCAACACGGCAGGCAAAGCTACACAACAGAGGAAAGCTACACAACAGAGGAAAGCTACACAACAGAGGAAAGCCACACAACAGAGGAAAGCAAGCACGGATATATGATAACCAACAAGCACGGATATGGTATATAATAAAAATCAAAAGATTCAACAAGAATATCAATTAATAACACAAATAAACAAAATAAGAACTAGAAAGAAACACTAGAATGAGAGAAAAAAAAAAAACTAGAAAAGTAAAATGGTTGAAAAGAAGTCCCTTTTCTCACCTCCACCTTGGACTGAGGGTCTATTTTACTTTTTAGCCTTCTTTGGAGCTGTTTTCTTTGAAGCCGAAGCACTGGTAGCTTTCTTTGTAATTGCAGGTTTGGTAACCTTTTTAGCAGCTGGTTTTTTAACGGTTGCTCCTGCTGCTCCTGCCTTTTTGGTGGTTGATTTCTTGGAAGGATCCTTTGCTTTTGGCTTTGCTTTTGGTTTTGACTTTGAGTCAGTAGAACCTGCAGCTTCTGATTTTGCAGAAGTTTTCTTAACGGATTTCTTAGCAGCCAGCGATTTCTTTGCCTTGGAGTCCTTAAGAGCGGGTTCTTTCTTGCTCAATTTCACAGGTCCCGAGGGGCCCTTTGGCTGAAGGAACTCACCTGCTTCAACACCTTTTCTCAAAGCGGTATTGAACAATGAATCGAAATTGCCGCCCTTGATATCGTTATTGCTTTGAACGTATTTTTTCAATGATTGACGAGAAGAGCCATTTCTTTCTTTCAAGGTGGAGATAGCCTCCTTGATCATAACTATTAAACCGGTCAGTAACTTTTTGCCCCCTTTCCCTGAATTACATAGTTTCAAAAAACTCTTGCTTTCTCTGAAACATACCTCTGTAAGTCTTTGCTGGTGCTGCTGTTGTAGACATTGTAGATGATAGCTTGTTGATTACGAAATTACTAGATACCTAGGACCTCTGTAATAATTACTTTACAATTCTCAGAAAAGAAAGATGATATATGGAATATGTTTTTCTCTAAACCTTTGATAATTTGTTGTGGTTTTATATTTTGATTTTTTGGGGCGCGAGGGGAACCACTAGCGACACACTATCGACACTATCGACACTATCGAGCGAAGCGAGATAGTGGAGCATCAGTAACTGCCACAAACACTATCGACACTATCGACACTATCTTGTTTCGCTCGATAGTGGAGCATCAGTAGCTGCCACCAACACTATCGACACTATCGACACTATCTTGTTTCGCTCGATAGTGGAGCATCAGTAGCTGCCACAAACACTATCGACACTATCGACATTATCGACATTATCTTGCTTCGCTCGATAGTGGAGCTGCCACCATTTGCTAAGAGGGATGGAAGGGAGAGAGGAGGGTTTAATTGCATTTTTACACACACTGACTAACACTATCTCGCTCTGCTAGTGGAGCGGTCCTTACTAACTTTCTACAACACTATCTTGCTCTGCTCAATAGTGCTAGTGTCAAGTAAGGGCGTTTATTATTTTTTCTCTTTCTCCACCGATTGTTTTGGTTTCATTATCAGGGCGGGCAAGTTTGTTTTTTTTTTGGTCATTCAATTATTTGTTGCTATAGGCTAAGAGAAAGGAAATAACAGATTGACCAAGTTATTGTAAGCGAGTAAACTCTTTGTAGGGAGCGAAGGGGGTTAGGACGAGGATAAAGTGGAGGACAAGGGTGAGGACAAGGCCAATTACCTTTACAGAAAGTGGTCTTATTTTTTTTTTTTTCTTATTCTAATAGAGAAATATTAATAGGATGTTTTACACCACCTGATGACTTAAGGACAAGGTCTATTTAACTTTACCCCAACACTATCGATACTATCGACACTATCGAACGAAGCGACACCGACACTATCAAGCGAAGCGAGATAGTGTCGATAGTGTCGATAATGTTGATAGTGTTGGTGGTAGCTAGTAATGGTGGCAGCTAGTGTTGGTGGCAGCTAGTAATGGTGGCAGTTAGTGTTGGTGGCAGCTAGTGTGCTCCACTATCTCGCTCTGCTCGATAGTGTAAATAGTGTCGATAGTGTAAATAGTGTCGATAGTGTAAATAGTGTCGATAGTGTCGCTGTCGCATTTCATGGACACACTTCGTATTCAGTCCATTGATGGCCCTCCTTTTCCAATTCATAAATAAATCTCTTATCCTTATCTTGTTCATAATAGTCAACCCAGTTGACGAAAATACCAACAACAGCAAAGTTCTTGATTCCTTCATTATCCTTTTTACCATCTACACCTCTATGAATCTTGCTGATTAATTTCTGGTTTTCTTCGGTCATTAGACTTTTTGGTATTGGTTTTTTAAAAGACGTTTTCATTGATTTCGACATTTCATCCCAATACCTTTGCAATTCTTGATCCCATTCTTGAGAAGAAGGCGGTATGAAATCTGCAGTGCTCAAGTCATCCTGAACTAGATTATTTGACAGGTATGTTGGCGAAAATAAAGATGACTGGATCGGTTGTCTCTGCTTTTCCACCTCCTCCGACTTGGCCTCTTTTTCCACCTCTTTTCCACCCGTGTTGTTCATTCCCTCATCTGACTTGAGATGTTCAATATCAATAATTGGGTGATGTTCACTGTCTAGAATTCTTGCTTTGCCCTTAAATCTAATCTGTTTCCTGATATGGCTAAACCAAAACACTACTTCAACTTTGTCTTCTTTCAACAATTCATTATATTTCTGCAGTCTCTTGTCAGTAGTGAATGTTAGTACATTTGAGGATTTGTTATTGAACAACCAGCCTCTATATACCAAAGTTCTATTGTTGGGATACCCTGTGTTTGTGTCAATAGTAGCTAATTGGCAAGTAATAAATGGTGGTTGATGGTCAGTAGCTGTCAATTCATTATTAATGCAACTATTCAATATTGTCACCCAGGGTGCTTGGTAATTGAACTGGACCATTTTTTTTTCAAATGCAAAGGTTTATGGGTCTGAGAGATTTGAACAAAGAAACTAGAGGAAAAAGGACGAAAGTGGGTCAAGGAGAAGAGCTCGTTTGTGCGTCTCTCTTTTAATATAAGCTCTCTCTCTTTATCCTAATGCAACCAAACCCCGTGTTTTGTTGCTCAGATTACAACAACTAATTTAACCCGTGTCCGCTCAGTTGACTTCCGACTGAAAAAATCTGGAAAACGGCACGCGATGGGGGTGAGACTCAGCGCCAAAGAGAAAAAAGAAAATTCAACTTTATGGGCATTCACTTTATTGGAAGAAGAAGAAGCACAAGAGAAACAAGACAAGAAAAGAAAAATAATTGTATCAAGAAAACTAGGGCGGGGCGGATAGACTATAGACTATCGAGCAGAGCGAAATAGTCTATAGATAGAGAGGAGAAAGGGTAGACTATCGAGCAGAGCGAGTAGACTATCGAGCAGAGCGAGTAGACTATCGAGCAGAGCGAGTAGACTATCGAGCAGAGCGAGTAGACTATCGAGCAGAGCGAGTAGACTATCGAGCAGAGCGAGTAGACTATCGAGCAGAGCGAGTAGAGAGGAGAGTTTATAGATAGAGAGTAGAGAGGATAGTTTATTAGAGAGGAGAGAGGATAGACTATCTCGCTCTGCTCGATAGTCAGGTGTACAGAGGAGTGTAGAGTAGAGTAGAATAGAGTAGAGAGGAGAGTAGAGTGGATACAATCAAACCCGGGTTTTATCTCATAGAATTACTCTCTATATATGTGTTGGTGTGGAATATGTTTGTGGAATCTGTGTTGATAAAATAAATGCAATGGTGAGTTTGTATTTATAAAGATCAACCTAGATTTTAGTAACAAATGCAAGCATTTGCTGCCTAAACAGATTCAATTTGAACTAAACTTTTCTTCTTCACCACGTGCGCAACCCGTTCCTTCTTCCTCGCTATCGAGCGAAGCGAGATTGTGAGGATAGCGTCGGTGGCACCTAGTATGCTCCACCATTGAGCAGAGCGAGATAGTGGAGCAACACTTAGTAGCTTGTAACAACACTATCGAGCAGAGCGAGATAGTGGAGTAACATTCAGTAGCTTGTAACAACACTATCGAGCAGAGCGAGATAGTGGAGCAACACTAAGTAGCTTGCCCAACACTATCAAGCAGAGCAAGATAGTGGAGATTATAGTAGAGCAGATTATAGTAGAGCAGATAATATAGATTATAGTAGATTATAGTAGATTATTGTAGATTATAGTAAAAACTAGTAAGAGAGAACAGTAGACTAGAGTGGACTAGAATCTAGTAGAATAGAGTAGAAACCAGTGAGAGAGTGGAGTGCAGTAGAATTTAATAAAGTAGAGTTTAATGGAATAGAGTTTAATGGAATAGAGTTTAGTAGAATCTAGTAGAAACTGAAGTAGAGTAGAGGAGAGTTGGTAATAGTAGAAGCTAATCAATGCTGCTCCACTATCTCGCTCTGCTCGATAGTGTTGGTTGATAGTGTCGATAGTATTGATCTTCTACTATCGACTAGACTCGTTTCACTCGTCTAGTCTCTCTCCACTATCTCGCTCTGCTCGATAGTGTTGGGCAAGCTACTGAGTGTTGATCGATAGTGTTGATATCAACAGTGGAGATGCGATGAGGTGAAAAAAATAAATAAATAATGTTATCGAGCAGCACTGACTAGTGACACTATCGACACTATCGACGCTATCTCGCTTCGCTCAAAAGTGAAGCACGCTAGCTGCCACCGACGCTATCGACGCTATCTCGCTTTGCTCCACAGTGTCACGCTCGATGCCATTACAACTCACAAATCTACCGCGGGACTCTGATGTTGTATTCAAGATTATAAAAAAGTATCCATATTATGACAAAGTACAGATAATTACCAAAACCGAAGCAAACGAAACAACTCTTCCAAGAGCATCGTTTCGGAAATTGCAAACGTCCAATCTATTTCAAATTTGTTTATCCAATTCAAATGAAGAGACTTATATATCAGCCGTACCGGAGGATCAATTGCAAACTGCAAAACACTTCCAGGATAGGTTTATTTTCCAAAATGGAGAGGTTAAAATGGTATTAAATCAATCGTCATTCCAAAAATGCCCCAATTTGCAAAGTCGATATATTGGATCTCGTTTAAGGAAATTAAAAAATGAAAAATTGGGACACGGGGGGAATTACCATGCTCAATATAGATACGAGATTACAACAGATTTAGGTCCCCCTGAACTAAAGTATATCTTAGATACTTTGTTTTCCAAAGTAGAGGCTTCTATATATTCAACCAACACCAATCTTCCAGAAGGTGAATGGATAGATGTGCCACAAAACATAACAAAAGCGCTGATCCCCAATTGCAACGAGCTAGATGAACTTGAAAGGTACGAAGCATTGACAATGTTTGCCAATTTTGACGCAAAACAAATTCTCAATGCCAATGAGTTCAAATTAGACTATTACACAAGATACACATTAGAAAACGTAATCTCATCAGCTCTACTCAATACAAAGTGGTGTCTACTTAGTCTGAGAAATGATTCTACTCATATTCTTCTTGAGAACCGTGAGGATTCAGTAAATGTTTTTGAAGTTTTATAAATACAGGTGTTTATCTTCTTTTCTTCATTATATAAATATCAGTGTGTATATACATGCAGCCTCCCTCCAAAACTAAAACTAGTTTTACAATTAACTTGGTCATGAAAAATCTTTAAATAATTCATCAAGGGGGAAATTTTCAAACATGTCCCCGTTATTCAAATCAAATGATCCATAGCCAAAACCTGAACCTGAAGCAACAGCCCCAACACCGGTTCCAGAGGCAACTCCCCCTCCGGCTCCAACTCCTCCTATAGAGCCAAGACCAAAACTATTCTGTCTCATTCCAAGGGTTGGAATGGGTACTACTCCTCCATCCATACCACTCAAAAAATTCGGAGATTGTGATACCATATTGTTCATTGTGGAGTCATAATTATACCTGCTTGTCAAATCATCATTTTTCATATTCATCATTTGCAACCAAATACTATCAATCTTATCATTTGACTTGTAATCATTTTCTGAACTACCTGTGGAACCAATAGAATCTCTATGATTCAATTCGGCCTTCTCAGCATTATCTTCCTTTGGTAATGACTCTGGTTTGTTGTTGTTGTTGTTGTTGTTGTTGTTGTTGTTGTTGTTGTTGTTGTTGTTGTTATTGTTGTTATTGTTGTTGTTATTGTTGTGATTGTTATTTTTGTTATTTTTGTTATTTTTGTTGTTATTATTGTTTTGTACAGATTGCATTTGCGATTGTAGTAGCCCTTCTTCCTTACGAGCTCTTTTAGTCTTTTGAATTTTAGCCATTGAAGTCTCCAACAAATTCCCTAATTGATCTAACATCTCGCTTGTGAATGGTGGTAATATTAGCTTCGGTTCATAAGTTTCAAAATACTCATCAGTAAGCATCGTTTTTAAAAATTGTTGCGCTTTTGTAATCAACCACGCGTAATAATATCGATGGGATAATCTAGCAACACCATCTCTATAAACCTCCCAGCACTTTAGCAACAAATCGGCTAGTTTGCGCAATTTTTGATAGTGCTTATCTTCTGCAAGGATGTACATTTTGTTGCGATGACTCACTTGCTTTGAGTGGATCCAATACCTGACCCTCAAGTATATTGTTGCAATAACAACCATCGAATTATGAGCAACGGTTTCAAAACTTGGAGTCGCCACCAAATCAACTGAATTTCTAAACATGTTTTTCTTATGACTAACACATTCACTAAAACATGGCATTACATCTTCAATAATAACCGCTAACATCTTCTTGAGATAAAAATAAGCAAGATGTAGATTATTTTTCGCTTCATAGTAATTGAATATGTGCAAGTAAACGGAAACTAGCCAAAAGCTCCCCAGAAAGTATATCTTTAACCTAATTGCACTTGGCATCGCATCTTTGGAATTTTGATCCAAGTCATAATTATATGCAACTTTTCCATATTTTTCTTTAAAAAAATTCTCAACCCCATTCAAATGCTCAACCAATTCAAGAAGCGCAACCGATCCTTTCACCTTGAATACTAATTTGAATATCTTATAAAAACTATCATATATTTGATCAAAACTGGGAAAACAGCTACAAGCAATTTTTTCAATCTCTACATCCAATACATTCTCGTTTCCTGCTTTGTAATATGGCGCCTTTGTGTCAAAATAATCCAGATCTATAGTCATGGCCATACCATTGGCCAAAGCATAGTTCAAGTCCTGAATCAACAAGTAAAACCATATTTTCCTCGCCAAGTTGTTAGCACGCTGGTCTTGATGGTTGTCCTCAAACTTATCGGGATCCCTATGCAACCCAATAGTAATTGCCATTTGAATCAAAGTCGCATTGAAAATCTGTGCATCTCCACCATCCATTCCATCACCGTCTTCAGGCGCAAGCAGGTGATAAACTCGAGTTAATAGTGCCAACTGTAATATAATGATATTATTACTCTTCATAATGTTAAATTGATCCAAACACAGTTGAGCCACATCAATGACATCAATATTAATGGGGTTATTGAGCAAAAATTTAATGTGTTGGGCCGTGGGCGAAGGATCGTCTGTATGAAAATTGATTTCGTTGATTGTCGAATCATGAGAAAATAATGAGATATAACTAAACCTCAATACAATCAACAATATGCCCAAGCACGCAAAATCAAGTTTACGTTCCACTTTAACTGAAACTTCAACGTTTTTGTAATCCTCGGGTCCTATCAATTTCTGCAAATGTTCCTTTAGCGCCATTTCATCCAAAATAGGGATTGCCACGTATAAATGAGTAAAGAATCTTTTGTATAATTTCCAAATAACCTTTTGTTTCGGCAAGACTAGTCTAATCTTTTCAACCAACTCCATTTCTGCATCTAGTCCACCTTGATAAAATGCCAATCCCAAACAAACGGCTTTTTCGTTCAACTCTTCTTGTGGTATTATTCGTCTTGGAGCAGCTTCACCAGCGGTTTCTCTAAATGGTCGCACTTCGCTTTCTACTTCATTCATAATCTTTTTTGAAAAATCCTTCTCCACTTGTGCCGAATGTTCTCCAACATGAGGAATAAATCCTTTACCTCTAAATTTATTTTTGATTGAGTTCATATGGGCCCAAACTGGAACCATTGCATTGTCAATTTTCAATAGAGTTTTCCAAGCAAAAGGTCCATAAATTTTTCTGTTGGAGTGGTCCTTATCCCTTGTTAAGCTACACCCATTGTGAAAATTTATTCGATCATTTTCTGAATCAATTGGATTAAAGCCTAGTAGTGACTTTAGCTCAATAGGGACTAAGCTTCTTGGTGATGTAGCTGTTAAGCCAGTGTTTGTTATGTCTTCAAACGTATATCGTTGACTACCATTTCCTTCTGCAAACTGATTTATGTATAGTGGTGATAGTGTCTGTCCATTTGATAATGCGTCATGATCCTCATGTATCTGCTGCAGTTGTAGTTGCAATTGTTGTTTTGAGGTGAGTTGCTTTTCTAGCAAGTCTAATTTTTGCTTGAGTAGGGTCAATTCATCTTGTACATTGCCGATATGAGAAGAATCATTTACACTCAATGGAGATGATGTGCTGTGGTTATCACTAAATTTTCTGGATGACAAAGAAACTGATTGCCCTGAAGAATCCAAACTTCTAGAAAATACTGAATCATTTTTATTTGATATGGTTGAAGAGGCACTTGTGTATTGAGAAAAGGTGGGTCTATGTGCTTCTGGTGGTGGTGGTTGTAGTAGCCTCTGCTGTAGCTTTGGGGCTTGCTGTTGCTGCTGCTGCTGCTGTAGCTTTGGAGCTTGTTGCTGCTGCTGCTGCTGTAGTAGTAGTATTGGTGGTGATTGCTGATGTCGCTGAGGTTCTTGCTCTTGAAGCCGATTATTTGATTTAGGTTTAACAAATGAACCATTAGTCTCCAACCTGTCTGAATATACACATGGACTTCTTCTATATTTGACGCATGTAGAACACGGGTTTCCCAAATCACATTTTACTTTCCTTCGCTTACAGAAATCACAAACCTTGGAAGATCTTGATCTTATTTTCCCCATATTATGGTGATGACCCAAAGGAAAAAAAAAAAACTCTCCTAAAATGGATTTTTCAGCTCTCAGTGATTAGCAGCTATCGGGTATCAATTAGTCAGGTATTAATTAGCCAGGTATCAGCTCAGTGATTAGCAGCTATCGGGTATCAATTAGCCAGGTATCAGCTCAGTGATTAGCAGCTATCGGGTATCAATTAGTCAGGTATCAGCTCAGTGATTAGCAGCTATCGGGTATCAGCTCAGTGGTTAGCAGCTATCGGGTATCGGCTCAGTAATTAGCAGCTATCGGGTATCGGCTCAGTAATCAGCGGCTAACAAGTTAAATATATTATTGTCAAAGTGGCTTCTATGTGGATAAAGCCGGTGAGGGTGGGGGGGGGATAGGACCAACTTATTTTCCAAATCTCCCTTCTCTTTTTAAAAGTTGGTTCCACCCGATTTGAGAATTACCTTATCAAATCTTAATAATAGTAGTATCATTAAAAAGTGAAGGAGGAAGAAGAAGAAAAAAAAAAGATTCAATTTCAGTTGGGTGAGCTTGTTCCCCCAAGAAAATAAACCTGTTCAAGCACAATGGAAGATCTCTATTCTCAAACTAAAGATATGTCTATTTACTCATTATTTATAGTCCTCGATTCATTTTTCTCTTTCTTCTTTGGTTCTAGATATGTATCACGTGTGTGTTGTTTCCTAAAGTGGTGTATAGCGTGCAAAATGGTGACTAAACAAGGGAGAAAAAAAGGTGACGAAATTGCTAAAATTCATTTCGTTTTAGTAAGCTGGTTTGCTTAGTTGAAAGAAACCACTAAATATCGCATATTGCATATTGCATATGACTTGTTTTTTTAAAAAAAAAAGAGAGTCTACTTTACAGTATAGTTTGGTAAACATACTCAATGACAAAAAGACCGTTGTAGCCCTTTAGGGCTATTTTTGGCTTTTGCCTTTTGGCTTTTGGCTTTTGGTTTGTGGCTTTATCAATCATGCAAGGCGAGGCAAGTCAAGATGAGAGGGGAGGAAAAGAACCAATTGGGTAGTTAGCAACCAATTGATGGGGGTTTTTTCTTGTCATATCTAGTGTGTAGTATAGTACTCTTCACCCCTCAAACTTACCGTTTACACGGCGTTTTGAATAAGACACTATTGAGCAGAGCGAGATAGTGTCGGTGGCAGCTACTAGTATCAATAGAGATGTATCACATACACTATCGATACACTATCGAGCAGAGCGAGATAGTGTTGGGGTTATAATACTCAGAAACTTATTACAACACTATCGAGCAGAGCGAGATAGTGTTGGGGTTATAATACTCGGAAACTTATTACTACACAATTTCTCTTTGCTCGATAGTGTTGGTGTTATTACTCAGTAACTTATTACTACACAATCTCTCTTTGCTCGATAGTGTTGGTGTTATTACTCATTAGCTCATTACTACACAATCGCTCTGCTTGATAGTGTTTTCTTTTTAGCGAAAAGCGAATAACGGAAAAGACAAAAGAAATCTAAATGTGCCTGTTGTTAGGGGGCAGGGAAAAAATAACATCCAAAATAACAGCCTTTCATTTTTAGTACTAAAGACCCTATTTAGATGTCTAACTTTTTTACAATTTTGCACTTTTTGATTTAATGTAGATGACAAGTATTGATGATACAAGTACTGATTTGTAGATGATACAAGTATTGATTTGTAGATGTTACAAATATTGATTTGTAGATGTTACAAATATTGATTTGTAGATGTTACAAGTATTGATTTGTAGATGTTACAAGTATTGATTTGTAGATGTTACAAGTATTGATTTGTAGATGTTACAAGTATTGATTTGTAGATGTTACAAGTATTGATTTGTAGATGTTACAAGTATTGATTTGTAGATGATACAAGTACTGATTTTATGTTGATACAAGTACTGATTTTATGTACATGACCTTTTTAACAAACCGAGATTATATTTTTTAGTAGAACAAATGAGGCTCTAAAGGCCAAGTAGAAATATCTATACCAATATTGTATGTTTTGGGAAAGCATGGGGGTAAAACGAGGGAAATAATAAGTAGGTATTGAGGGTAAACGCAAAGTGAACTAAAATAAGAAAGGTTTTAGTTTTGCTAAATCAGTTTTAAAAAGTTGATAGAAGAGAAGGTAGATGATTAGTCATCCATAATGAGAAACACAAACACAAACACTATCGACTATCGACACTATCGACACTATCGAGCAGAGCGAGATAGTGGAGCAGCACTGACTAGTGACACTATTGACACTATCTCGCTCTGCTCGATAGTGGAGCACTGACTAGTGACACTATTGACACTATCTCGCTCTGCTCGATAGTGGAGCACTGATTAGTGACACCATCGACACTAGTTGCCACCAACTATCAACACAAATTAGATTTGGTGTAAAGTGTAGTTAGGGAAAAGACTAGATTCAGTGTAAACTAGATTTGATATAGTTTGCTTCTATAAAGGTTTTTTAACTCTTTGTTTCCAGATCATCTCTTTTCGTTTAGTCCAATTATTATTTTTGCTCAATTTCACACAAAAATGATGGATTCAAAAGTGAAATCCCTCAAAAAGCTATCTCAAAAGACTATCTCAAAAGACTATCTCAAAAGACTATCTCAAAAGACTATCGAGCAAAGCGAGATAGTCTTTACCTGCTCTCTATAGACTATCTCAAAAGACTATCTCAAAAGACTATCGAGCAAAGCGAGATAGTCTTTACCTGCTCTCTATAGACTATCTCAAAAGACTATCTCAAAAGACTATCGAGCAAAGCGAGATAGTCTTTACCTGCTCTCTATAGACTATCTCAAAAGACTATCTCAAAAGACTATCGAGCAAAGCGAGATAGTCTTTATCTGCTCTATACCTACTCTATACCTGCTCTATACCTGCTCTATACCTACTCTATACCTACTCTATACCCGCTCTCTCTACTCTCTCTTCTCTCTACAGACTATCGAGCATAGACTATCTCGCTCTGCTCGATAGCCTATATTTACTCTCTCTTCTCTCTTTGGACTATCTCGCTTTGTTCGATAGTCTATCTCTACTCACACGGGTTTTAGCTTAATACTAGAAATGCGAGGCTTGGTTGTGGGATTTAGAGAAAAGTTATTGACAATCAATCAAAGCTATAGACCATCGAGCAGCGAGATAGTCTATCAACTACTCTTCCTATAGACTACATCTACTCTTCCTATAGACTACATCTACTCTTCCTATAGACTACATCTACTCTTCCTATAGACTACATCTACTCTTCCTATAGACTACATCTACTCTTCCTATAGACTACATCTACTCTTCCTATAGACTACATCTACTCTTCCTATAGACTACATCTACTCTTCCTATAGACTACAT